TTATCCATATACTATAGACCCTTTAGGTTATTCACGGGACATTATCCATTCATATATCAGGGGTATATCAAATATATACCTCGTATATCAACTATATACCCAGTATATATACTGTCCCGATTACATCATAAATAACCTTGGATGTTTAGTTTATTGGATTTTGGAAAATGCAAAGCTATGATTCAACAACAAATTTATTGAATAAAACTTTACTAAATAGACATATGTTTTTACAAAATACAAACTACGAGTTTAGGGCAACACACCCAACACTAACACCGGTAGAGCACTAAATCTGCAACATCAGTTCTCAACCAATTTCGTATGACAAGGAAGAACAGCCTTGGACCCTTTACGTGGATAGGTCCTCGAACGTCAGAGGATGCAGAGTAGGGCTACTATTAGTCTCCCCAGATAGGGAAAAATTTTGAATATGCTCTACGATTCAGTTTTCATGCATCCAACAATGAGACTGAATACGAAGCTCTACTACAGGATTGAAGGTGGCATGGTATGTCGGGGTCATGAATATACTGATTCTCAGTGACTCGCAGTTGATCGTGAGTCAAGTAAAGGAAGAATTTCAAGCTAAGGAACTATGAACGATGGAATACTTGGCTCGAGTAAAAGATCAACTCAGCCTATTCTCAAAGTATGAGTTCATGCAGATTCCTCGGTCACAAAATGTAAATGCGAATGCATTAGCTCGACTGGCTGCAACCTGTGAGACTGGCTTGGGAAGAACCGTGCCTGTTGAAATTCTGCCCGAGCCGAGCATAAAAGTTCAGGATGTGATGGATGTCGGCAAATAGGAGAAACCCGAGGAGAATTAAATGAATCCCCTGATCAAGTATCTAAAAGACGGGACTCTCCCTACTGAGAGAATAGAAGCCTAGTAACTCCAACAGCGAGTAGCCAGGTACATGCTTAGAGATGGAAATTTGTACAAAAGAAGTAACTCTCTACCGCTCTTGAAGTGCCTAGCACCAGAGGAGACTGATTATGTCATGAGAGAGACGCATGAAGGCATATGCGGCAATCATTTAGAAGCGCGATCTTTGAGTCATAAGATTGTTCGACAGAGATATTATTGACCAACTATGCTGAAAGATGCCACACAGTTTACCAAAATATGTGACAGATGTCAGTGGTTCACGACGATACCTAAACAACCACCTGAACCACTAACAAGCATAATGAGTTTTTGGCCTTTCACTTAATGGGGAATAGACCTCATCGGTCTCCTTCCACAAGGAAAGGGCCAGACTAAATTTGCAGTGGTAGCTGTAGATTACTTTACCAAATTGGCCGAAGCTGAGGCCCTAGCTACGATCACTGAGAAGAAAATTACTGACTTCATCTGGAAGGGTATAATTTGTCGTTTTGAGGTGCCATACACTATTATCAGTGATAATGGAAGACAGTTTGATAATGCAACGTTTCGAAATTTTTGTATGGAACTGAGTATCAAACACATTTGTTCATCGCCAGCGCACCCACAAGCTAATGAACAGGTTGAATCAGTCAATAAAATCATCAAAAGGACTCTGAAAACCAGATTAGGACTCAAGGGGCTGTGGGCTGAAGAACTTCCCAGTGTACTGTGTGTGTATAGAATGACACCCTGTACGTCAACTGGAGAAACACCATTTCATTGTCTTTTGGTTCTGAAGCAATGATGCCGGTAGAAATTGATCTTCCATCCCCAAGAATAGAACAATTCAATCTGCCCCAAAATGATGAATCCATACAACTCAACCTCAATCTATTGGAAGAACATCAGGAAATGGCACGACTACGGACAGTGGAATATAAAAATCGGATCGCCCAATATTACAACTTGGAGGTTAAGGAACACAACTTCAAAGAGGGTGACCTGGTATTGAGAAAAGTCATGCCAAACACGAAAGACCCGACCAGTGGAGTACTAGGACAGACATGGGAAGGCCCGTACAAAGTTACAAAAGTAGTTCGAGCAGAAACCTACGCTTTAGAAGATCAATGTGGCAAAACCCTACCCCATCCATGGCACGTTCAGCATCTTAAGATATGTTACCACTAGCTAAGTAGTATATTTTTCTTATTAGACATGCGTGTCATCTTTTTTCAGTAGGTTAGGTAATTTTCTTTTATGGTCCGTATTTGCTTATCTCTTTGTTGTATTTAGTTCTTTATTCGAGCAATTCTTTGAATAAAGACCTTCAACAATTGAGATACGGTTAGTCCCATAGTACTTGAGCATTTATGTTTATTCTAAACCAAACTCCTCAAGTGGGGGCATAAATAAGTTAGTCTACGGTTGGTTAGAAGCTCAAACTGGGACAGACCTAGAAGCAGGCCAACAGGCTGAAAGCCAGTCAATAAAAGTGTGGAAGTAGGCCCAGCAAGGTCAAAACGTAAAACAGGTAAGCGAGAAACCAATTAATAGAACTCGGGGTACAAAACCATTCGACAGAAGCCAAATGGGTTAGAAACCCGATGGTGGTAGCGCTGACCCGGGTAAAAGTTAAATCCCAAGGTTAACATCTAGTGGATAAGACTAAGCATATAGCAAAGCCCCAAGAGGCTCGTTTGCAACTAGCTAAGTCAAAAGAATATAGGGGCAAGAAAGACCAGCCCATGAAACGACAATCGACAACGACAAAAAAATATCTACCGAACTTGGGGTATAAAATCAATGGCAAAAGCCAAATAGGTGAGAAACCCAAGAGTAGTACAGTCAAAACTAGCTGTATAACAGAGCTCGAAAAATTTGACTACAGTCAGTTACAACATGAAGGCATGGGGGATAGTCCGTAGAGAGAGCCACTCATGGAGAACCAAGCGACAGGTACTCTCAATATAGAAGTCTTGATATTTTATCTATATCTCTCACCTTCGATTTTGAGAGTGAGGGCTATTATTAGGGAGATAACAATAGAACAGACCAAGTGATAAAGATGAGGTCAGACTGGGGGTAAAGGACGAACTGAGAACTGTTGACCTGGGTCAAACCAAGCTGATAGGGGGTGACCCCCTCGGCGTCAACCAGGCCTCGGCGTCGAGACCTTCTCTGCCATTGGTCGAGAGCACTCCTTCGATTCTGTGTCGACCTCTGTGCCCTCCGACCGAATCTATCTTATCTGGACCCCTAATTGGACATTAGGCCCACAACGAAACATATGGCCTAGAAGCCGAGATCACCTGAACACCCTAGGGTTCGACTTGTGTAAACCATAAAGGGATTGAGATTGGATTGGGAGGATGAGCCAAACCCTAGAGGTACGAAAAACAGACCCTACTATCTATACTAGACCACTTTGATACTGACTTACGCATCGGAGCCCGTGTGGTAAAAACCACACCGGTCTTAGGGTTGCTTATGTTTTGCAGGTCTCGTCAATCTCGTTTGTTCTAGGAAATTGGTGCAAATTTGGCGGAATCCCAGGTGACCAAATTTCTGCATCAACAGCTACTTTCGTTGAGTACATATTTAATGCATATTAACATTATCAATTAAGCAGCTTTCTAAATCATACCCTTAAGTAGAAACCTTCATGACAATGTAAATCATCTCAATTGCTTTTTTTTTTTTGTTAAATTAAACCCAAACAAAGATTAAGGTTAAAGCCTGCACAAAGTCCAGGTTCATTAACTCACATCCAAGCCAAGATTAAGGTTAAAGTCTTATTAGGCAAGATCTTTTACATTCTTTTCTCCTCCCTCGTCCACATGCATTCCGCTGGAATCAATTACTCCTCAGTAGGAAGCGACAAATAAATTTTTTGTTTGATAATAATCCTTGTACTAAATGTTAAATTTCTTCAATTAAATTTTATTGTTTTTTTATTTTAGTTAATTTTTGGAAAATTGATTTAGGTCGGGCTAGTAAATTTCGTAGATTGAGCCAACATTTATTTTGGATCACTAAAGGTAAATGGCTCTTCTTTCGGAATGTCTTAGGGCTAGGTTGGAAATTTTTATATGATATTTTGAATGACTATATGATGGATGTTGTTTGTGAATTTAATGTTATGGGAAATTGTTGTGTTGCATTATAGAATGTTTAATTATGGGACCTAATACATGATTATGAATATAAAAATATTTTTTTATATAAAAAGTTTGTGGCAATCACTCTACTGTAACGCACAGACTAGACTTAAATAGAGGACCTAGGTGGGTGAGACTTGGCTTTGTTGACTAGGTGCCAACTACCATCAATTGGGTAGAGTCTCCCAAGAAACCCACATATGTACCATAATAGAGTTGCTATCGTCTGTGTAGGGTTGGATTAATTGCTCACATTGACCAAAAGGAAAAGGAAAATGAAAATAATTTGACTCATAAAGATTCAGGTCTCACGATTCATGTTACATTATGTATATGTGTATGCATATTTGACTCCGTTAGCTGGGTTACTTACTAAGTATCTTTAATACACACCACTTTCCACTTATTTTTTTAAGGGAATAACAAAGATGTATGTGTAACGAAGGTAACTGCGGGCTATGCCATGGGTTTTCGCTTCTGCATTAGTTTCATGTTTTATTTTTATTGTATTAAGAGTTATTTATCCTAATATTATGTTTTATATAAAACTTTCTATGGATCCCAAATAAAGCTTTTTTATTTTATTTTGTAAAGTTATGTTATAAAATTGTATTTTGTTTTGTTTATTATTATTTTTTAAAAGGCTTTTAAAATATTGAAAACAAGCTTGTAGTAACGTCTCTAAGAAGTTTAAGTCCCAAAAAGTCGAGTTATTACATATTAGCTACAACAAAATTGCATCATCCTAGAAAAGATGGTAGCCGAGAGGGTAAGGTATTTTGGAGATTGTTGTCGAAGATCTCACAGTCGCATGATGAGTCTTCGATTTTCAACTGCTCCAAGTAAAGAAAAAGATAATTTGTTACTAAAAAAGAAAAAAAAAAGTAATACATTTGAAAAAAAAATGAAAAAAAGTTGTTGGCATAAAAAAGTTTAAGAAGAAGAAAGGTTGATCAAAAAAATTAATACATTTTTTTGATTAATCACTCATTAATCAAAAAAATTAAAAATTAAAAATTAAAAATTAAAAATTAAAAATTAAAAATTAAAAATTAAAAATTAAAAATTAATTAAAATAATAAAAGAAGAGGAGAGAGAAATTCAACATCTCTCCCCATCTTCTTCTTCCTCCACACGCACCAAGCTGCTTGAAAATGGCGGTACTCCGACGAGTCGACAATCATGCTCTTCAACTCAATCAACAGCGCACGAAGAAGACGTCAACTTCTTCCAATGAGCAGTCTTCAACAACTATTCTCACAAGCAACAGTGGCAACACTCTAATGACCTGTGCGTTTACTCCTTGGGTGGGCTGTAGAAACTTCTCATCTCCGACCGACCAGAAACTTCTCCTTCTCAGTGTGATAAGAAACTTATCAATGCACCAGCTTATGAATAGAAAGAAGATTAGAAGAAATTGAAGGAACATGTAAAATAGTACGAAGAGAAATAGATGAATTAGGAGTGTGAAGAACACCACAACCTATATGAGATAATGCCAAAGATTGTCCACTACCCACTCCAACATGCTATCACCAGAGTATTCAGAAATAGAGGTGAGATGGCCCAAATCAGCAGTGACATGCGCATTACAACCGGAGTCGGCTAACCATGGGGTGTTTGGAACTGCAAGTGTAGAGTAATTATGATTGGCAACCATAGCAGCCAACTGAGCAAGTGGATGGCAGCCTTGAAAGCTATAGTTCATACGGTTGAAACAGTCAACGCAAAGTGACCAGCCTTGAAGCAAATTTGACAAAAAAATTATGGTAAACGTATCAGTTAGAGCTTTAAGACCAGCAGGCCCCAAAATACCACGACCACGACCAGGAACACCATAAGAGGAACCAGAGAAAGTAACTCCATATAAGTTTCCAAAAAATCCAACAGGATTAGGGTTCTTATACTTGGAGAATGATCGATTTTTAGAAAAGTCACGGCCGCGGCCCATATTAGGATTGATATTCTGAGATCTTGCGAATTCGCAAAAAGCACCGTTGGAGAAGAAAACGCCTCATCACGCTTAACCTGTTTGTCAAGAGTGGCTTCTTCCGAGACAAGGAGAACATGAAGTTCTTCAAAGCTAACCGACTGTGATCGAGTGCGCGTTGATGTACGAAAGACGCTATAATCAAAAGTAAGACCATTCAATGTATAGATGAACAAATCTTTATCATCAATTTGAACAAAACATTCGATAATTTGTCCTTAAGTTCCTTAACACGTTGAATGTACTAATCAATGGATTTTGAAGGCTTCTTGGTAATAGACTGAAGATCAGACTTCAGGCTAACAACATTGGATCGTGAATTGGACGAATAATTTTTCACAAGAGTATCTCACACCTTATTCGAAGTATCGCACCCTACAACATTTGCAAGAGCAATTGGTGGAGGAGCTTCCGTAGTAGATGGAGGAATTGAGCCATCAATAAAGCCGAACAGTTTATGAGCTTTCAAGATGGAGTTCAATTGGAATTTCCATAGAATGAAATTAGAGGAATCATGTCGAATGGATACTAGGTTACAGAAGAATCGAGAGACGCGAGTCAAAAGGCTTCTGTATTAATTACAACTGATTACAGAGGTTTATAAAGGCTTTAGTAATCATTCAATGGAGTCTGGACCATATTTTACTTGAGCTTCACCAACATATATATAGGATTTGAAGCACAATCTTTGTGTCAATTACATTGATTTGAAATAAGTATTTTCGGGAAAGATAGATTTTTGCTTGCATCCCATAGGATTTGAACCTATACCAAAGGTTTAGAAGACGTTTGCCCTATCCATGAGACAATAGATGCTTTTCATTCCATCTTTTTTTTTTTTTGTATTTTTAACTCTTGTTGGTAAAAAAAAATGTGAGAATTCTGGAAATTTCAAATTCAATCATGCATTACATTAACTAATACATGAGTTAAAATTAAGTAAATTGAAAATTTATATTTGAGTAATTCTATATTAATATTAATTCCATTAATATTTATAAATTTATAAATTTTATAAATATTAATAGTATAAAATTGGAGCCTAAAAGGGAGACCTTTAATTGCGAATCAAAGTTCTAAAGATGCTATACTCAAATTGTACACTTGCCAAAATCTTGACTCCAAATTTTGTTCCAATTTCAAATGTAGGTAGATTTTATTGGATGGATTATCAAATTCAAACCAAAATTTTGGCAAGGTTTTGATTTTGGTAAATTCTACCAAATCAAATAAAATGACAGAGTACAAATTATTCTTCTCCAATTTCAAATATATGGATATTTTTTATTTTGGTATATTTTATCCAAATCAAATAAAGATGCCCAATCAAAATTAATTGTCTCCGTAATCCTGAAATATTATGCTAAATTAAATCCAAATCATGACAGAAATTTTGGCATAAATGATAAAGAGCCCCAATCAAATTAGGATTGCGAATCAAGTCCAAATGTCCGAATCCTTATTTGAAATATAAAATTCTCCAAATGAGAGAGCGGAAGTTAAATAAGGATGACATATTTAAATTATAAATGTCATCCCTTATTAAAATTTTATACTCAAAATTCATTCAAATTATGATAGAAGTTTGGCCAAATACAGAAATTAAAGTTATTGGCTAAAATTGATTATTTGGTAGACAACCAAAACTTAATCATTATTTTGATTATTTGACACAAAGAAAAGATGACAAAAAAAAATCAAAATTTGGTGCCAAAATTGATATGTATATTAAATCAAAATTATGAACCATACTTCATATTTTGGTCAAATGTCACATATTACTTTTTCGAAATCACACACATACGTGCATAAATCTTGAAAAGGGACAATGGTTGACGGAGAAATAACAAAATTATGTCATGTGTCTCTCTTATGGTTGTTTGATGGAATCAACTAATTGGATCAAACTCATAAAGGGATTGGGCYCAAAGCCCATGACCCATTAAGCCCATGACTCATATAAGATCACCAAAAAAACTCTATAAGTAGAGGGGTCACCTCTTATTCGAGAGTTTCAGAAGAAGCCAGAAGAATTGGAGATTCATGGCCCTCAGAGCATTCACAATCGTCGAACAAGACTTGAAGACCTAAAGATTACGAGAGTTCAAGGATACTAAACCCTCTCTTCGCCAAGGAACCGACTGAATAACTCTTCTCAAACAACAAGACTTGAAGATTTCATCAAACTACGAACTTCATCGAGCTGCAAATTTTGCCAAGCAAGTCTTACTTTATCAAGTTACAAGCTGAAGAACTCCATCAAGCTACAAGCCAAAGAACTCCATAACAAGCTAAAGATCTTCAACAAGCTAAAAACCGAAGACTTCAAAGATCATTCAACAAACAAGAAGCTAAAGGCATTAAACTCATTTATTCAAGAACAAGTTCACAAGTCCTTGATTTAAAGCTCACATCCGAGAGAATTAATCAGAGGATTATACAAGAGATATTGTAACACTACAAACATAAATACAACACGAGTTCATAAATTTGAGCTATCTCTTCTTTGAATTTCTCATCGAACAATGTAACCTAAATTTTTGAAAGTATTAATTGGTAAATTGATAGTTAATTGGTAAATTGATAGGTAACTCAAAATTTGAACCTGAATTAATCACTCATAAATTGAGTTTGGCTCAATTGGATAAAGCATGTATCAGCAACTAGTGTACTCGAACTCCACTTCCACTCATTGTACTAAAAAGGTAAACTCCATAAGATGCACTGAGATTTTCTAGGGTTTAGTCCTATGCATTGATTTAAATTTACAATGCTCATCGATGTTTAAAATTCAATTGGACAAATTAAGCCTAAAACCCAACTTGAAATTAAATTTTGAGAGAACTAATCTACCACACCAAGTTTGAAAGTAAAAATTGATTTTTTTTTTCCTTCAAATTTCAATAATCATGAATACAATGGAAGAATATAAGTATATTTACTCCCAAAAACACAATACGGTGAATGGAAGTAGTTTTGGCGAGGACAAAAGTGTAGTTGCCTATGTCAAAAACATTCTCATGCACTCCCAAACATAACCTGCGAATAACAGATTGCTCAATCATCTTTTAAATCATAGAGGTTGCACCAAAAGTTGAAACCAAATGGCAAAATGTAATCATCAAGTTCATGATCAGCTACATATAGAGCATTTAAGAATACAAGAAAACACAATGTACATTTGAGCATTTGAGAGCAGCAGTGTGGAATATGGCCTTCTTCAGAAACAAACTAACTTTTCACTTACTGCAAACAAAAGGGGGATTTCATTTCCTAGTGAACCAGAAGCAGCAAAAAGAGGCCATAAGATCAAGCGAAAGAGAGCAGGACAATAATAGAGTGTAACCAACCAAGCCTGCAGCAATTCAATGGTAAATATTTCAACTCAAGAAAGTTATAACAATGAGCCCGTAGTATAAAGTTTTGGACACATTTTAGCCAGGGCAATCACAGGTTCTTCACGCAAGATAACGGTACAATTTTCTATCTTCTTTGTCCCTCTCCAAAAACTCCCTCTCAATAAGAGATTCAATTCGTTTTTTAATCACAACGGGGTTGGGGAGGAACCTTGACTGCAGCTGCTTTGTGACTTCAGTGACGATGTTATTGTGATCCAATACCCGCCTCGCCTTCATTATTCTCACAATCGCTGCCTCGATTTGTGGTTTCCGGTCTTCCTCTACCCTCTGTCGCGTTTCCTGGTTTTCTGGTTCTGACTCCCTTTGTGCAACCACGGTACCAATTTTCACCTTGTACAACTTGCTGGTGAACTTGTCGTTGAAGAAAAATGCATCATCTTCAGCAATGTCCTTGCTCATTGGCTCCTTCCGGAGGACATTCCTTCCTTTCACACAGGCCAATGACTGTAGACATCTTTTCAAGTCTACAGTCGGAATCTCTGTGGCCTGCTCGATGTCTCTATAATTCAACCGATCAGTGTTGTTGAACAGCATTAGCACACACATCTGGTACGTGGAAACATTCAACTCATGCTTCTGGCCCTTCCCAAAGGTAGCTTTCAGATCGGCTGTCCCCATATTTGTTTGCCAAGACAATCTCCGCCCAGTATGTGTCCCGAGGTAGTAGTTTCTAAATTTCTCGCATATCCCAAGAATTTCTGAAGGAAGGTTGCAGGTTGTACTAGCCTGAGTTGGCCACGACCCTGTAGTGAGGACCTGCACAACTAGCGTGGGACCCTCTCCTAACTCAGCACCATATCTTGCATAGAAACCCTGCATCGTATCCTGAGATGTCTTCATATCAGTGAACATACCCTCCAATTTAGAGGTAAATTGGTACCCACACTCTGTTTTGAGCTTAACAATCAAACTTCTTTCAGCATCGTCAGAGACAGTTTTCCCTGACAGAAGTCTCTTGGCTAAATGTTGCTTGTAATATTTCTCAAATACATCTTTCTCTTGAAGGTAACGGAAAAGCATCATAACCTTGTCTAGCACAATTTCTATATCCTCCTCACTAACCCCTCTCAATCCTCTACGAAGCTTGTCGTCCACAAACAAAGAGATAAATTCTGGAGATCGAGCATTCAGGTTGATAAAATATTCAAATGAGGAATTCAAAGCATTTTGGAACGTCTTGTCATTGGTGAATGCCAAGCTGATAACCTTGTCGTATTTATCCTTCAAATCAAGGAGTCGCTGCACATAATCCACAGGATCTTTTAACCTATCTGGGTCAGTCACCAGCTGCTTACCCGTATCACGAATGTAAGATGTCATGACATCTCTTACTATGGAGAGTCCACTCGGTACACGACGAAACAAGTTATACATTCTGCCCAAATCTTCATATTTATCATCAACAAACATATTTACTAAGCCTGAGTTTTCCATATGGACTAATCTTTGCATGTGACTTTCTATCATCTCTTTTTCCACCACACTGGTTATCTTGGGTTCACTTCTAGCATCTAAGTAGTGGGACACTCTTTCTATTTCTTCATTCAAACGTCTCTCTGCCTTCTTCAGGTAATCACCACAGTCACAAGACTCAATAAATTGCTGAGACTCGAGACGGTAAAAGTCTGCAGAGACATCAAGAAAATGCTTTTCAAAGTCTTCTTGGTAAACAGAGGAACCTAAATCCATAAGCATCTTTATAATGTTCCTCATTAAACCCCTGTTTATTACTTCACCACTCCTTTCCATATGCACAAGTTCAAGAAGAGTATCTCGAAGCCTGGTCTGGGTTTTGCTCGAGTGGATGACAACATCCCTCCATAGATTCAAACCAAGCTCATGAACTGGAGTTTTACGAGTGCTTGGGATGAAAGTTCTATCCATGTACATCAATATGTCTCGGATCATTTGCAAAGCCTTGTTGTGGTCTGCCCATTTCCTGTTCAATTCTACTAAAAAAAGTTCTCCTTGAGCTGCTTCAATTGCTTTGGATATTTCTTTCAGATGAAATGTCATTGTGGTCACAAGTCCAGAGTAAAGTTTTTCACCAAATTTGTGCAGCACCATATTGTACGCGTTCCTAAATGTATAAGATGCTTGATCATCAGGAGAAGAAAAGAAAAACATTTTTTACACGAACAGGAAAAACACTGAAAAAGGCTCAAAAGCAATAAAAGCAACAGGGTTCCTACTAGAGCAGTAAAATACTTCAAGTTTAAAAAAAAAAGTTGAAGACTTCTACAACAAAGTAGTTAAACCCCTGTAAAAAAGTCAAAAACTGGCTGGTAGTGCAGCTTCCACAACAAATTGTGTTTACTTTTTCTCATTTGTTGAAGCTACTTACTGCACAATCCACATGCAAAATAACTTGATTTTGAGCGAAAAACTATGAAGCTGATGCATTTCATTAAATAATAATCCAATGTCCACTAAAAATAGAGAGAGAGAGACGGAGGTCATGGAGAATATGAAAAAACAGATCCACATAATGGCAATTAGAATTTTTTTCTTCTGAGTACTGTACTGTTGTCCATTCAAAATCATCTTCACTTGGCATTTTAACCAAATATTATATAACATGCACAAAGCACAAGTTAAACAAAAACACACTAATTTAATTTAATTATGCACAAAGAAAAGTTCATCCTCCTTCCAATTACAACACCGCTAGACAAACTCAATATCACCTCAAGCCAAAAATACAAAAGATTTGGTCAAAGTTTACATGCTAAAATTGGAATGGATCTGATTACAAAATCTATAGGTGTGATGATAATTATCACAAGTAATCCGCGCAGTTATCCTACATGCATATAGAGGTGATAAGGCATCAGGAGTGAATAGCATGAAGGCACCACCTTCTTTTCATCGATAAAATTAAAGTACAAAAGAAAACCAAAGGAGTTCACAAAAAAGCTATTCAATTATTGCTAAAAACAAAAGAATCATATTTACAAAAGAGGGTGGAACGAGTACACCATGTTCAGGTGTTAAAGTGCGGTAACTTCCATATTTCCTCTCAATTTCCCTTTTCATAAAAATTCTGGAACTTTTCTCATCATATCGACCAAAGGCTATTCTTTACTCCTATCCACCAAATAGAATGAGCTTTCCGACTTGAAAAGAGACTGCCACAAAGCTGAAGTAAACATTCTTTTATTTTACTGTGGAAACACCAAGGTTGAAGTCATTTAAAATTCAGCCCCATATCTTCTGGCAATTCTCACAGTTAGAATACAGATGACGACCATTTTCCTCTGCTTTTTCACAGAGGCTGCATATGATAGGGTGGAGATAAACATGAGGGATTTCTTTTCTGGAGATTATCAGCTGTATTCATGCCTTCAAGAGCCAAATTCTGGACAAAAAATTTGCCCTTTTTAAGAGCTTTTTAACTTTAGATTGCTTCGAACAGCAGCATTGGGAGGGCAGCTTGGAACTTTTTGTCTCTATGATAATATGGATGAAAATTTGAGTTAGTTGAAAAGATTGCCAAATGATGTCCTTTCCAGGTTATGGAATCTCGAGAGAAAAGATGGAAATCCTCCAAGCAAGAATAAAGTTGCAGTGCAAGTGTGCAACGAGTCGTCAGTTCTCAATCATTCAAGGCTCTTCTAACATTTAGGCACCAACTTTTGTTCTCTTCCTTCCAACAGACTCTGAATTTAAACAATTTTTAATCTGCCACCTGGTAAATTTTGGAGAATCTCTCCTTAAGAGGGTTTTCCCCCACCCATTTGTCTTCCCAAAATCTCACTTTGCCTCTGTCTCCAACCTTGAAATTAAGATGCTTTCCTTAGGCCGACTGCAATTGTTTATGAAGTTCCAAAGGCTTTTACTGATGCTTTCTTTGTGAATCCCATCCTCTACTGGCAACCTCATATTTGCTATCCACTATTAAACTCCATAATAAGTCCTCACCTTGCCCAAAAGAAATCTCAACTCCACTTAGCTACAAAAGCAATGTTCCACTTCTTCAAGTTGCCAAGACAGACCACCTTCCTCTTTGATTCAAGAGAGAAGTTTCCCACTTGTAAGGTGGCTCCCTTCTTCTGTACCTATTCTGGTCCAAAGAAAGTTTCTGAACTTCTCTTTCCAAGAGATTTGTTACCTCCATTGGCATTTTACACGAGAGATTAACTTTGGTCCTCTCAATATTGCACAATTACAAAAGAATTTGAAAGACAATTCTCGGAAGGCTACACATCAATATGATTGCCGGTATCAATTTTACACTAAATTGAACATAAAAAACAAAATATCATGTATGCAAAAATGAAGCACTAGCAAACAATGTCTTAAAAAGAAAATAGTCACAAGCTTAGAAATAGGAAGTTGAAGGAATTAAATTTTGTAGCTTGCAGCCATACACTTTCTTTAAAAAATAAAATAAACTAAAAATAAAAAACACAAAAAAAGAACAAAAGTGCACACTTTCAAAATCAGAACCAAAATATGTAGACGTTCAAGATGGACCATGAAAGTAGGGGAAAATAGTAACGGCTTGATGGTAAATTCTGCAAGTAGGTATGCTAGCTACAAATTGTAATTTGTAGCCAGATTGAAGATCATAATTTAATAACTATTGCAACCAAACCTTGATGCCTCACAAGCCGTAACAGTGGTATTAATCTGTTTAATCTAAAGAGGATAACAGATCACAAGCAATAGAAAATCTAGTTTCATTGCATATACTTGGTATAAGAGCTCCATCAATCCAAGGCCCAAACATGGCAGGACTAGGTAAACTTGCACTCAAGGATGATGTATTTCAAGTGCTGAAGGTGACTTGAGAGAAGCTGCATGAAAATGCAACAAGAATGCCTTGGTGGGAGAATTATCAAAGCAAGTCACTACCTTGGAGACGGCAGTATCCAATCCTCAACAGGACCACAATAAACAAGCAAACACTAGCTACCATGACAAAACAACATGGATGTTTGTATCTTCAACAAGAAGAACCACCTGGTAATGTTTGGCAGAGAGTGCTCGGAAGACTCTGAAATCTAGAAAGATTAATAGAGAAGGTTAACCAATCTAAAATTCAATTTCCCAGATAAGAAACAAAATTATTTGATTGCAAAGGTACCAGAGTGCTTTCAGTTCATTATGACTATTCCTGGAGCAAGTCTTGAGTACTGATTAGGAGGGGTTTGAGAAGGAAGAAAGCACTTGGTTTGGTGCATCCTATTTAGTATATTTTGCTCCATGAGCAATCTTTTGAGTACAGATTCTATGTATGTGGAGGAACGGAAGTAAAGAAACTACAACACTGCATAACTATGATAATATTCTAGCTACACCAAATGGCTCAAGCAAGCTAAGGGTAGCCAATGATTCAAACTTCCCATATGCAAGGCATGTCACTGACCTTCCAATAACAAGAAAGAAACAAGTAAATTCCAATGCTTGATCAAGTGTTAGAAACTGGTTTTGATGTGGTGTTCAATGTCGCCCATAAATGCTAATCAGCAAAAGCACCGAATAGCTTATGCCCAAAGTCTTTATAAGGAGAGAGAGACCCATAGTAGTAGTAGCCTAAAGGCGAGAGAACATGAATAGATTGAGGTTGACAATGGTGATCAATTAACTTGTCTCATTCAATGCATACAATTTACCCATAAAATTGAGGCCCATGATCTACAATATTCTACCTTTAGTACAAGATGCACTAGAAATGGGCTGGTACATAGTAATATTGTAGACAGAGAAAGTAGAAAAAAGGTTCCATCTCCCAAATTTTGTTCAACCTTCTCATCTAGCAAATGCACACCCACACCAATACAAAGTTTAATAAATCAAATAGGGATGTGAAGCATTGATTACTTAACTGCGCACTATTTCTCAATAGTATTTCTTTAATTGTAGCAAGCTGGAAATAAATGTTAATCACACATCTTATTGGGCTGAGCTCAGCAATATCATGTACAAGCCACTCATTAAGGAAGAGATAATACTATAGAGTTCTCATGTTGGGGGAAATATGTTCTACTGTGCGTCCCTAAGGCTAAAGCAGATTTCGGAGAGTCATAGAAACCATGCCACCTATTCCTAGTTGTACTTGAGAACGTTCCTAGATGATCATGATAAGTTCTTTTATGGGCTATACTAGTTAAAGGAAAGCCTGTTAATCAAGTGTGTGGAGAACAACTTGAAGTACTGGGAAAGGACAATTGGTTGATCATATATTTGTTGATCTAATGGATTTCACACTAGCCCCGATGAGTAATACTCAAATCACATGGCTTATATATTTGGATCTACCTTACCAAACCTAGCTCTACCTAAATATTACCTAAATCCACATGGACATCAAATCCCCATCAACAAGTTCAAGACCTACTAGAAAAGGTCATAACAAACCTAGTCTTGTCCCATTACTACTCACACCACAGAAAGATGAAATGTGAAGGATGAATATTAAGTACACGATAGCACTAAACAAGATAATTGTCAAATACCAAATTACAATACAAACTTTAAAATAGACTTGAGCAACTACGTGGTTGCACTAATTTTTCTAATTACCCTACGCAATGAAAATCATCAATCAAAAGGGATGAAAGAAAGATGAAATTGTGGATGAAAGGACTATATTTATCTTATGAATGGCTTATAGAGAAAAGGATTAGAGAAAGATGAAAGGTAAAAGAAGGATTATAGAAAACAACAAGGATTGCACACATGACTTATTATGCCATTTGGGTCAACTAATACTCCAAGAACTTTTCATGAGGTTTATGAACCAAGTTATTCAACTTCTCCCCAATTAGTTTGGTGTCATTTAGCTTGATAACATCCTCGTGAATAGCAGATCCATAGAAGATCATCCCGAACGAATACACAAGGTTGAATAGCAAATAATTGTTACGCCCTACTCCAAAAAGCAAGATGCAAAAAGCACTCAACCACTACATAGAGGTGCAACAGAGAAGTAATCTGAGAATCACTACTCAAATACAAAACTCATGGTGCTTGTTGCACCCTTTAGCTCCATCCATCCAAAAGTTGCAGTGAAGATAAAATAAAACAACATGGCGTAGTATACCAGTGAGACGAAAAAGGAGCAGAAGCAACCTGTAAAGCTCTTCGAAGCTGAGCCCGCTGGCGTTATGATTGTATATCTCATGAATTGCATGTTCCAAAATCTTCCACGTCTTCTCGGCATATTTCGGATCCACCACGACCCGGTGTTTAAAGGCCTCTATCTGGAAATTCCTCTTCTTCTGCGCGCTCATGGCTTGCGAAGATCGGATCCCAAGAAACCCTTAATCTTGATTGGACGAAACCCTAGGTTTTGAAAACAGAGACGGATCAATTTTCAGCGATGGAGCAGCAAGTAAAGCAACAAGACGATGATTTGGAGAAGATTTGGGAAAAGGGGGGAATTAATTATTGACAGAAATGAGAAATTTGACGAGGGGAAGAACAGGGAAACCTTTATCTGGAGGATTTAAGAAGAACCCGGATGGTTTTTGGTTATGAAACCAATAATTCGAGAAAAAACACAGAAGAATAGAAGAAAAAATTCTTACTTTTAATTGAAATTATCCTTTTCTTCTCCACCTGGTTCTCTTTTTCCTCCAATTTAACTGAGATGGCTGCCCAAGCTTCGGGCGGATGGATCAGATCCGTCAATTATTATTATTATTTTTTTTCTTTTTCCACAATATTAGTTTGGTTAAACTACCAATTTTGTTAGAATTTATTTCCATTTAGTTATTTTTATACAATATATCGTAGGTCACCATTTTTTTTTGTTGGAAATATATGTTAATGCTGATGCTCGCTTTCACATGTCTATCTTTAAAAAGTTTCTCATATTTTAAACTTCGATCCACTCTACAAAGTTTCGAAAAAAAAAATAATTTATACCTCGGAACTGAAAGGTTAAATCAATTAAAATTCTAAACTTTAAACTTTGGAAACCGAATGATTAAATATAATAATTTTCAATTGAAAATCTAAATTTATCTAAATTTATCTTTATATTTTATCTTAAAGACTCTTAATTATATTTGTAGCTATCATTTGACATCTCATGTTGTTTTGGCTTGTTTATTTCTTTAGATTAAAATGGAAAATTGTCGAAGAAGATTTCGAAAAATGTCAAAATAATTTGAGAAATCGAATCTCATAAATATAAAAACTATTTCAGGTATAACTCTTATGGTGGCTCCATTAGACAAAATATTGTTGGTAAAAACAAGAATAGAACATTGCGTAATGGAACTTTAACTTCATGCCTTCGTAGTGGTGTTTTAAACCATTGAGCTAGTTCCCTTGCTTGACATCATTTTTCCAATCTTCACATTGGCATATCTCTGGGTTCTAATGTAGTTAGCATTCTATTTCTCCGTGGAAATACATAGGTTTCTTACTCGTCCAAAGGAACTCTTTCTTGGTAACTTGACAATAAAGATATTTTAAAAGAGTAAGGAATTTAGATTGTACGTGGTAGTGGGGTTGATCTTGTTCATAGCATGTGTTGGGAGAATTCGCTCAGAGCGAGGAGCATGTTGTGTAGTATGTGAGCATCTCATCATTCTAGCATTTCATATTTTCGTGGATAATGTGATAAGTGAGTTTTCATCGTTCTTGCCACAAGTAAGCGCGTTAGTCATTGTTTTATAAATATAGAGGAGTCTCATTTAATCATGTTTGTTGGTTTGAATCATACTATTAATTTACTCCATAATTTTGTTAGTATTACATTTCTTTTGAGTTAGTTTAATATCTTTTTATCTCTCTTGTAGATATAAAATTTTGAATAAATAGATAAGAAATGAAATAAATTTGAAAATAAATTAATAAAATCATTTAGGTTAAGGAACGACTCTTTTATAAATACACATATTTTCTCTATTCAAAGCGAGGCTTACTAGGGTTACAGAAAAGTCTCAAGGTGTTAAACATGCTGGTAAGAGTTATTAGTTTGTAATTGTTATTTTCTTTTATATTATTGTTTATTCTCTCTTTGGTTGTGATAACCCTTATAACTTGCAGCCACGTAGTTTTTGTAAACAGAGGTTGCTTATATAATGTAGCCTCATCCCTTTTGATTTGTCTAGAAGATTGAGAATAGAAGTATCTCATTTTCTTCCTTTCAACTTTTAGGGTTCAAACCCTTTTATGGTATTAGAGACTATTGATCCTAGAAGATGGTGCAGCCCCTTCTCCCCCCTCCTCTTCGGGCCTTAGGTCTTCAACAAATCCACCTCTAAACCAAATACCTTTAATGTCAACCCTCACTTGTTAACCCACCACCAACAAATAGTATTCCAAACCCTCACTCTCCCCTTCGACCCCCTTTCACCCCTCCACCTAATGGTCTTCAACAGCCGCTCCCCACCTTCCCTCCATCTCCTTTGGCTTTCTGCTTTCTCCTCTACCCGCCCACAGTTCGGCCTCTATCAATTAACCACCTGCCTATGTTCCACAATCAGTTGTCCAATTTATCCCACAAATGTTCCCTGACATTGCTCAATCCCTCTCCTTTAAACTCACATATTCTAACTATCTTCTATGGAAGAATCAGTTGTGCTTAACTTCATTTATGCATATGACCTTGAAGGTTTCATCAATGATACCATTCCCCCTCCTAAATTTCTGGATAATATTCACTGTCAACCCAACTCAGAGTTTTATGTTTGATAAAAATTTAATCAAACCGTTATGATCTGGCTTTTCTCTTCTCTTACAGAAGGAAAAATGGGAGAAATCATTTCTTTCTCTACCGCTCGAGATATATGGGAATCACTGCTCCATTCTTACGAATCTACCTCTTCTACTCGTGTTCTCAGTCTCAAAGCTCAAATTCGGGCCATTAAAAGTATGGCATATCCATTCCATAATATTTGGCAAAAATAAAAGAGGTGGTGGACAAACTTTCATCCATTGGTGAGACGGTGTCCTTAAAGGACCATATATCTTACATTTTGAATGGCCTTGGACCTTAATACAACACCTGTGTCACTTCTATTCAGCACTGAGTCGAGCTCCCTACAATCGAAGATGTCCGCGCTCTTCTTTTGACCTATGAGTATCGGATCGAAAGACAAAATTCAGTTGACCATCTAAATATTGTTTAAGCTAATCTTGTAGGTATGCAACTACAGCAATCTTCTTCGACATGGCGAACCTCTCAATTCCCTCCTCCAACCACTTCTCGTGGCCGCCAGAACCACTATTCCCAACCTGGATTTCTTGGAAAACCGAACTTTACACCCCAAAATAGAGGTACCAATCGTCCTCCATCATCTTCCCAAAGTCGTGTTCAATGTCAAATATGTGGAAAATTTGGACACTCGATCCTCATTTATTATCATAGTGGGAACCTACAATACAAATCAGCCCTAATCCCATCTTCATCTACCTCACTCCCTTTACCATAAGCCATGTTTGCCAATGCACCTAATGCCATAACTAATTTTCATCATGTACCCATACTTTCTCTTGTAGTCTCATCCCAACCCCTCTTTCCCTCCCTCCGCATTCTAGATGATGCTTGGTATGGTATATGGATTCTGGAGCCACCCACCACTTAACCCAAATTTAAATTCTCTCTCCAACGACCTAGTCTCCTACAATGGTGGTGAGCAAGTGAACATGGAAAATGATATGTCTATTCCAATAACTCATATTGGTTCAACTTCCTTTTTGTCCAGGTCTAAATTTCCTATTAATTTATCTGAAGTTCTTCATAAACCTCTTATTCTCATAAATTAGTAAGTATATCCAAACTTTGTCATGATAATAAAGCATCAGTTGAGTTTTACCCCACTTTTCTTCTTGTGAAGGATCTCTTTACCAAAAAAGTTCTTCTTAAGGGCAATCTTGAGGGTGGACTATACAAGTTATGTTCATCAAATTCATCAACACCGATTCATTATTCATCCCTGTTTGCTGCTGGTTTTTCTGCTTCTATCGATGCCAATATATGGCACTTTCGTCTCGGTCATCCCTCTTTGTCTATAGTTAAACAAGTTTTAGAGTCATGTAAGTTGGACCTTAAATCCAACATTATGTCTACTATTTATTCCTCGTGTCAAGAAGCAAAAATTCATAGATTGTCTTTTTTTTTTTTTAATCATAGTAGAGCTTTTGCCCCCATTTGGATTTGTTCATTCTGATTTGTGGAGATCTTCCTCTGAAAAATCCGTTAATGGTGCATGTTTTTTTTATTATTCATTGATGACTACACTCGTTACACTTGGCTTTATCTTCTCAAAACTAAAGACCAAGTATTTCCTATTTTTCTTCAATTTGGAGCCATGGTTAAAAATCAATTTAATTGTGATATTAAATCTCTTCAATCAATTGGGTGGAAAATTTCGATCTCTTTCCTAATTATCTTGCTTCAAATGGGATTATCCATAGTGTTTCATGTCTATCCACACCGCAGCAAAATTGTTAAGTTGAACTTAAAAATCGGCATATTGTTGAAGTTGGTCTATCCTTATTAGCTCACTAGATGCTCTTGCTTCCCTTTCCTTCGCATATTTCGTTCTACTGAACGTGTCTTTATTGGTTTTAGTTCTAATCACAAGGAGTATTTATGTTTTGATTACAAATTCAGACATCTTTGTGTTTCTCGGCACATTGTGTTTGACGAACATAATTTTCCTTTAAAAAATAAAGTAATTGAGTTTTCATCCTTCAAGTCTCACATTCATAATCATTCCATGGTGTTTTCTTTAATTCACCCACCCCTCGCTTGGTCTCAAGGAATTTCACCACCCAATTACTCTCCTTTTAATCGAACCCACGTGAATCAACCCTATGCAATCATCTCAGCCTACCTCTCTGCCACCTATTACATAATTCCCTGCCATTCCTCCTTTTGGCCAGTCAGTAGCCTCACGCCACCCATCACCCAGCTCCATGTGCAACCAATTTTTGTCCTCTGGTACTAATCCCACGTCCCATCATCCTTCTTCCTCGTTACTTCTTTCCTTTACAACACCACATTTTTCTTCTCCTTTATCTCTGCAGATTACAACACCCTCCCCAAGTACCTCCAGTATGTCTTCTTCGACCCATTCTAGCGAAGCACCTCCCTCTCCATTTCTGTCGTCTTCTACCTCTCTCCCTACCACTCTTCCAATTGCCGATTCATCTACTTCACCCATACCTATTCTCCCTTCATCTCATTTTGGCGACCCACCCCTTGAACCGAATCCATCTACAAACACCCACCCTACGATGACTCGCTCCAAGCATGGTATATTTAAACCCAAAGCTTGGACATCCACACTTTCATCGAATCTTGCCCTCACCGAACCTACATCTTACAAACGATCCTTGTTGCATCCAAAGTGGCAATCTGCTATGCAATCTGAAATTGACGCTTTTGATCATAATCGAACTTGGACTCTTGTCCCTCCTCCCAATGGAAGTCAGTCTGTTGGTTGCAAATTAGTTTTTTTACTCAAATTACAACTGAATGGTGAGTTAAATCGACATAAAGTCCGTCTAGTTGTGAAAAGGTTTACCCAAACGTTTGGCTTTCACTATTTCGACATTTTCAGTCCCGTTGTTAAACCATCCACAGTACGTCTCATTCTCTCTTTGGTCGTCACCTTCAGTTGGCCAATTAAACAACTTGATGTTAATAATGAATTTCTCCATAGTGATCTTCAT